CCTACCTACCTACCTACCTACCTACCCACCTACCTACCTACCCACCCACCTACCTACCTACCTACCTACCTACCTACCTACCTACCTACCTACCTACCTACCTACCTACCTACCTACCTACATTTACATGCATGCATGCATGCATGCATACGTACATCATCCATCCATCCATCCATCCATCCATCCATATCGCATCTTTCTCCTTAAAAAAGGACTCAAGGGAGCATTAAAAGATAGTACTTAAAGCTAACAAGTATATGAATACTAAAAAGAACAAACGAATACCATATGAAACATACGAGAAGCAACACCAAAATGCATTCAAGGCAGTAAAGATGGGGCCCGCTTGGCCTCCAGTGGCAGGGAGTTCCCAAGTCTGGGGGCAGCCACCGAGAAGGTCCTTTTTTCCAGTCTCCCCCCAACCAATGTCCCTGTGAATGTCCAGCGAGAAAGGCCTCTCCCGATGATCTTAATACTCGAGCAGGCTCAGAGAGGGAGAGGCGGTCCTTGAGATCACGCTGTTTAAGGGTTTTCTAGACTGGAACCAAAACTTTGAATTGTGCCCAGAAATGGATCGGCCGTCCCCGGAGTGTGGCTGCATCCACGGGGGAATCTGGGATCCCTGTGGCCAGCCCCAGTCAGCAATCTGGCTCCTCCCTCTTGGACCCGCTGAAGTTTCCCGATACATGGAGTGCATGACCGTCATCCAGCCGGGATGTAACTCAGAGATGTGTCATCATGGCCAGATCAGAGCTCTCCCGGAATGGGTGCAGCCAGCACACTCATTTTAATAGTGCAAAGGCACGCCTGGCCACCACTTAAACCCTCCAGACTCGGAGACGAATCCAGCACTCTTCCCTGTCTCTCTGGGTCAGCGGGTTGGAGAAAGCTGAATTCGTAAATCAACATCCCACGTGATCTGGGGCTGAAAATAAGGCCCGCTCAGCACAGCCGGAAGCTTGTTATGGTTGCTTTCCTACTCAGCCGGTGTGGTGGACTGGTCGGAGTGCTGGATTTCGGAAATCCCTACCTCGGTCTTTCAAGTTGCCGCTAAGCCCGTAAAGCTCAGTGGGCGACTTCGCCTGTGCCAGTCAGCCTGGCATACCTCGGAGGGCTGTTGTGACGATAAAGTGAGGACAAAGGACAAGGAAGGGCCACACGTTCTCCTTGAGCTCACTAAAACAAAGACAGGATATTGTAATGTAACTATTAAACAATAATAAATAAATATATACCACCAGGATGGGGCATGGGGGGGGGGGACTGTGCCATTCAGCTTTCATTTACATTGGCTTTGTTGTGGCTGTTGTGTGGGTCTCTCTCAAAAGAATCACATTGCCCCTGTATGCCAGAATATTCTAATTATCCAGAAAAAATACGGCCGAGAGATTGTTTTTCCAGCCTCCGGGCTCAAAGATTGGTTCAGTCCTTGAGGTCATCAGGAAGGAAGGAAGGAAGGAAGGAAGGAAGGAAGGAAGGAAGGAAGGAAGGAAGCAAGGAAGGAAGGAAGGAAGGAAGGAAGGAAGGAAAGGAAAGAAGAAAAGAAAAAAAGAAGAAGCATTGGACACTCTATGTCATTCGGCTCCAAACGTTATACAGAAAATTTTGAGTTCTTTTGTGCTTGATGTAGTTTTCATATTGTTCCCAAAGCTGTATGCATGAAAAGTGACTAATAAGGAGCAAATGAAAGAATCCATTGGCCACCGCAATCTTTAGGGAAAATTTCCCCAGCTGTTTATTTTCAAACTGTTGTTTCTTATATTGAGCCTTTGTTTCTGTTGTTATCAAAATATTCTCCATTTTCAAGCAAGCAAGCAAGCAAGCAAGGAAGGAAAGAATGGAAGGAAAGAAAGAATGGAAGAAAGCAGGAAAGAAGTGAAGGAAGGAAGGAAGGAAGGAAGAACTGAAATTCTGAGGGCCACTCATTTTGGAGCAGAGCCTTCGATATGGGGACCCCCCTCTGTATGAAAGAATGCCCCCCAATAGAATACTTGTTTTGCCCAATGTAGAAAATATAACCAAGCTTCACAACAGGGTAACTCTTACAGGTTTCATAGATCTTATATATTGATAACTGGCTGATGGCTCGGTGGTTTAAATATCTGCCTGCAGAACCAGAGGTTGGGAGTTTGATTCCTCACTCTGCCTCCGAGGAGAAAGAGCCAGCCTGGGTAGCTTTGGGCCGGCTGTAAACATCCCAGAGTGTCCCCATAAGAACGGAAGGGTTCTGAATATCGTCTCCCCGGGAAAAGCCTGAAAAGGGTTGCCATTAAGTCAGAACGGTCTTGGCAGCGCATGACGATAGACTGATTGTATGTTTTATTTTAATGTCCATGATTGCGCTACCCTATGTTGAAACCTTTAGATGCCGGTGAATTCTAAATACTTGTAAATAAATCAACGAAAACATACGTTTGCTGGGCATAAACAACAGGATCCCCGTGATTTTGCTCCTTCGCCTATAATCAAACAAT